AGTTCCACGAAGTGTACTAGTGCTTCGAGTTGAAACTAGTTCTACTCGTTTTCATCCCCAAAGGAGGGTACACCCCGCTGTGGATAGAGCGTATGTACGGCTCGCCATTGGGAGCAGCAGGAAACTCCCAAACGTGTAGAACGCGTTGAACGCGATTAAAGTGTTGTCCTCGCGTGAGCTACGCGCGAGCCACGCGTAAGCTACGCACCAAGAACGAGCGAAACATCATTTTTCGGCACTGGAGCACACTCAAAGGGGATGGCTTGTTTTCGCGGACATCGCGATCTCCCGCGGACATCGCGATTATCCGCGGACATCGCGGCCTTGGAGAAAGATCGGCTTTTATTGTGGGCAAAGAGCCAAGGGGAGCTGCTCGGCGCGGATTAGATTGGGCTGATTCTTCAGTTCGATTCCTTCGTGTGTGGGGGCGTGCCTCTACAAGGCGGTGCTGCGGTGTGGTGCGGCTTTGAACGCGCCTTGGGCGCACACGAGCTGCGGTGTTGTGCGTGTTGCAGTCACCTCCATAGTGCCTATTCTACTCTCCTTTACTCGTCAGCATGACGTATTTAGGTATTTCCTTTATTATGTATTTTCTCTGGAAATATACCACTTCTCTTTTCGTCCACTGGGCGTAGACGACAGGCACGGGCCACGCGCATCGTTCCTCCCACCTGTAACAGTGCGATGGGGGCGGAGTGGAAAGAAAGGCGAACAGGTCGCTGTTGCGCCCTGAATCGTGCATCAGCTTGTTGCCCAAGAGAAACAGTGCTCTCGCTTGTGTGCCTGCGAAAAAAAGCGCCACATGTCGATTTCCAAGTCAAAATGGCGAGGTCCTAGCGGCCCAATGAGACCTCCTAGAGGGCTGAGTCCTATCACATCTTGAAGCCCATGCTCTGTCGCGTATTTTGAACGAAACGCGAGGCCAAGAGCTTACGGTGCAAGCAAGAACACTCGTGCTCACTTGCGTGTGGTCCGAGCAAAAAAATTCGCCTCGCTGTGGCTTGCATGACTCCCCAAAAATTCTAAGTCTAAACTCCGCCCCCTCGCTCGAACCGGACACTCCATCTCAGCCAAGCGTGGTTCGGAGTTTGGCAAGGCATTTTATTTGAAAAAAATAAAAACCAAAGAAAGAGAGCACAAGGTCAGAAGCCAAAGTGCTGGTGGCCTTGGCGCCGCCGGCCACCTCCACCAGGGAATCCACCTCCACCAAAGCCAGGATGACCACCTGCCACAACATGCTTCGGTCAGGAGCTGTACACGCACGCCATTTGCTAAAAGCAGGCCATCCATACCTGCAAAGAACATGTTGAACAGCTCACTTGGGTCCACGTCTGCTCCGCCAAATCCGCCGCCACCGCCTTCCAGTTCATCAAGGTCTGCTCCCATGTCGTACCTGTGGCGTCGCATGTGAGCAGGTGAGCACGACAGAAAACAGGAGCGGCTTCTGGAATTAAGCGCTCACCTTTGCCTCTTTTTGGCGTCAGAGAGAACGCTAAACGCTTCGCCGACCTCCTTGAACATCGCTTCAGCCTTCAGGGCCGCCTCAGGCGAATGCCCATGCTTGTCTGTTTGGTGTGTGGCCACGCAGGGTCAGCTGGAGAGCACTGGCTTTCGCCAGAGGCAAAGAGAGAGAGAGAGAGATGTGCGCGCATGGCCATACCTGGGTGCCATTGGAGAGCGAGCTTGCGGTAGGCCTTCTTGATTTGGTCATCGTTCGCGTCCTTGGGAACACCCAGGAGCTTGTAGTAGTCCTTCCTTTTCGACTTCTTGAGCTCCAGCTTTGCCTCCCGCAGTCGGTGCCGAACGTCTGTGGTAGCCTCTTGAGAAAAAGAGCAGGTGGTGGTGGCTGGGGCGGGGGATGGGTACCGGCGTTTTCCGGGTCTAGCTTTTTTGCTTGTTCGTAGTCCCGTACCGCCTCCTCGTAGCGTTCCATTCGGGTGTAGGCGCGCGCTCGACGCAAGTAGGCCTGGTTGAAGTGTGGAATGGATGAGGACGCTTGCCAAAACAAGAAGAGGAGAAATGGCTTTGAAGAAGGAGCAAGTTGCAGCGTCAAGTACTTTGAGGTAGTTGGCGTCAAGGCTGAGTGCCCTGTTGCAGTCTTGCACAGCCTCCTCGAGCTTGCCGAGGAGCTCCAAGGCTGCTGCCCTGTTGCAGAAGAGCTGCGCGCGAACAGTGGGAGTCTGGAGGAGGAGGAGGAGGTTAACGTGCGGGTCAGCTGCGACAGGGTACCAACAAACTTACCTCTTCCTTGGCGTCGGCCTGGAGGGCGCCGGTGTAGAATTCAATGGCGGCTTCATAGTTGCCGGAAGAAAAGGCATCGTTTCCGTCCTTCTTGGCACGCTCTACGGCCCGAACAATCTTGAGCGCTTCCCGCGCAGGCGAGAAGTCAGGGTCAAGGCGCAGCGCCTGCGCAAAGTGTGTTGCCGCATGGTCCAATGATCCCGAGCGGAACAGTGCCTACGACACAGAGGAAGAGGGCAGTTAGTTATACATACCAAGGCCAGGCAGCGGTGAGCTGCGGCGGGACCCGCACGCACCTTACCCCTGACGAAGAGGGCTTCCACATTGTGAGGCTCCTGGCGCAAGACTAGCGAAGCAATCTTCGAGGCCTGGTCGTGCTGGCCCAGCCCAAGCAAGGCACGCGCCTTGAGGACCATGACCGGCAAGGAAGCCTCAACCTGTACGGGCGCCAACAGACCCAATGGACAACACCCAACATTATGGGTGATAGAGAGAGAGAGAGATAGTGTCGGTGGTCAGTGCTATTAAAGACAAGGAGGGCTAGCGGCAGGCACTTCTGAAGTGAAAGGACGGGGGACTAACCTCGGCGAGGACTTCAGCGAATGCTCTGACGGCTTCCATGTACTTGCCCTGGTCCAGCAACCGTTTGCCCTGGTCGATTTCGCTCTGCACCTTCGTGACTAAGTGAAGCTGGGGAATCGAGGAGGAGAAGCACGAACGACAGACAAACGCCCACGTGGGTCGGTAAGCAAAGAACTACTGTCCCGACAACGATAGTATAGAAGGTATACCTCTTTCTTGGCATCGGCGTTGTTTGGCTCCAGACCCAGGGCTGGAATGTAAAGTGGAGGCCATCCAACGTTGAGAGGAGTAAGAGGACAGTCATCGCTCGAATATTCTGCGCATCGCACCAACGCCAGACTCACAAATAGGTACCCTTTTCATACTGCATCTTGGCCCGCACAAAGTCACCCAGCTTGACGTAGCATTTGCCGGCACGCAAGTATCCCTGGTAGGGGTGGACGGGAAGTGAGCACAAAGAGGAGGGTAATCGGAAGCTGACGGCCGCTTGCGGCTGCTGCAGCAGAGTGTAGGCCAGTAACCCCTTTCGCATACTCACTCAGCTGGAGAAGAGCGGCATGCCATCGGAGGGTAACGTGCTTACCTTGGTGAAGGAAGGGTCAAGCTGCGTGGCCTTCAGGGCGTCATCGAGGGCTGGTTTCCATTCGCCTTCCATCATGCGGGACGCCGCTCTGTTGCCATAGTAGGAAGGCTCCTCGGGAAACTCCTCTGCGCGCAACGCCACAAGAATCACGCTACCATTTGCTGGCACAAAAACGGCTGCCACAAGATACAAGTACCCCCCCCCATCCAAAACGCCCAGTACTGACCAGTTTGTAGATGGGAAAGTAGTACCGATGGCTCGCGAGTAGTGAGCGACAGCTGCAGCGTAGTCGCCTTTTTTGTACTCTTCGTTGCCTTGGGCCTTATGCGCTTCGGCGCGTGCCTTGGCCTCGCTGTCGCCCTTGCTCCCTGCCATCTCCGCACTTGACACCCAGCACGGAATGATGTCAGAGAAACAAAAGAAGAAGAAAAAAAGCACAAGGGAGGCCGCAACATACGGGGATGCTTGAGCGCTGGCATTCGGCAGATCCGGATCCATTGGAGAGTTCAGGCAGTAGGAACGGGCAGGTGCGCCAATGACTGGGAAATCAAAAAGAATGCTTGCATTTCTGTATGCGGTACAGAAAAGGGGAAAGGAAAAGGGCAAAAGAAAACGAAAAAAAACCACCCAAGAAGATGGAGCCGGACATCCAACGGGCGGCAGCAGTTCGATTAGAGCACGCGGTGCCCCCGAAGAAGAAACGCAAAGCGACCACCGATACGACCAACGACACGACCAGCGGTGGCGCACCAGAGGACCCCAGTCGACTGCCGATGACACCAACGGCAACCCCTGCCCCTACTCGGCACGGCCGTGAGGGGGCAGCTGTGGACGGGCGGGCGCTTCATAGGTCCCCGTCCTTCGAGGAGCCCCCTGTTGAGCTGGCATCGACCCCTCCCTCCACGTTTTTCGGCCCCTCCTCTCTCCGCGTGTTGTGGTGTGTCAGCGTGTCACGTGTGTCGTGGCGATGCCGTATGTGTGCGAGCGGCGACAGGAAGCCGTGGTGTTGCATCCGGGCTCGCACACCCTCAAGCTGGGTATGGCCACTGACGACCTGCCCGTTGTGATGCCGCATCTCGTGGCTCGTCGAGTCTACGACGTACGTCCCTGCTGATACATCGGTTGAGGCGGGAGACGCCACCATGCTGCTGCTGCTGCTGCTGCTGCTGCTGCTGCTTTAAATATGGTGGCTGCGACTGCTGCGGCTGCTGATGGCTGCTGCTGCTGCTGCTGCTGCTGGGGAGGCAGGGGGAGGGAACTGCCGTGCAGGAGCTCGACCAGGAAAGCGAGGAGAGGCAGGCGGCGCTGGAAGCAGCCCGGAGAGCTGGACTGGGGGCAGTGATGGGCGAGGTGCCCCTCAAGCGCAAGTCCCTGGTGGAAGACGTGGAGCGCTTCAACGCGCACAACTGTACCGAGACGGTGACCTGGGCCGACGACTTTGTCTGGACCCCCACTGACCACCAGCCGTCCTTTCTTGTGGGCGCCGACGTACGCGACCTCGACCCCCTCCCCAGCCCCACCCACCATGCGCATCATCCTCTACCCAAAGTGGCCCTTCGCCTCAACTTACCAACCTACTGTGGGTGGTCGTGCCGCGCTGCTGCTGCTGCTGGCTGCTGCAGGCACAAAAGGTGGGCCGGGGCCGCGGGTATCGCCTGCAGCGGCCGATCGTACGCGGCCGGTTCAACATCCAAGAGGTGCTCTCCCACCCTTTGGTATCGGGGGCGCGCCTCTCTCCATGACGCCCGCCTGACCGCGCTGCTGCTGCTGCTGCTGCTGCTGCTGCTGCTGCTGCTGCTTTAATTAATTTCTTTGCCTCTTGCGCGCGTGCCCCCCGGGATGGGTGCCAGGGCTACACGATGCGGATGGTGCTGGACGACCTGCACACGATCTGGCAGCACGCGCTCATCCACGAGCTTGGCCTCACACCCTCTGCGCAGAAGCGGGACTTCTCGCAGTACGTGGCAGTCCTGATCGTGGCTGATCTCTTCGATCGGCGCGAAGTGCGCGAGATGCTCAACATGCTGGTCCGCGAGATGGGGTTCGCGGGCGTCATGGTGCTCCAGGTACCTGATCCCTCCCCCCTCCTCCTCCTCCTCCTCACAGAACACACGACACACGTCACACACAAATGCCGGTGTGCTGTACTCGTGCCCCCCCCCTTCTCCAACCGTGACGTAGGAGTCCGTGTGCACCTCTTTCGGATACGGGCTGGCGTCAGCGTGTGTCGTGGACGTGGGCGACCAGAAGACGACCGTCACGTGTGTCGACGAGGGCGCATGCCTCCCCGATTCCCGCGTCGCGCTCGACTACGGCGGCAGGTACCTACCTACCTACCTACCTACGTGTACCCACCCTCCCCGTGGTGGCGCCACGGGAGTGGGCGGGGGCTCGTTTCCTCGACCCCATGGGGCGCTTTGGGTGGCGAGTGTTGCGGGCTATGCACTGCCTTCCCTTCTTTCCTCTTCTTCTTCTCTTCTTCTTCTTCTTCTGCAGAGATATCGCCGACTGGCTGCTGTGGGTGGTGAAGCACTGGGGCCGCCACCACTTTCCCTACCGCGGGGCGAGCGTGGAGGACCCCCTCGACGAGATGTTCCTCCACGACCTCAAGAAAGAGTGCTGCCACCTCCACAAGGCACGCACAGCTAACGAACGCACACGGCACACACGGCACACGGACCCTCCTGCCGCTCATATGTGGACGCGCGTGGATCCGCAGGATGAGCAAACGACGCAGATTTTTTCGTTCTACGAGCGGCAACCGGGGCAGCGCACGCTGCTTCACCACATCAACATCAATCAGGAGCTCATCTTTGCGCCCTTGGTACCACCACTCCTCCCCCAACTTTCCTTGTCTTTCGAATTGCGCCATGCGTCGCGTGGACGTCATGACCCACACGACACACACACGACGCACACCGTGCGGCCGGGCAGGGTCTCTTCCACCCCGACGTGCTCGCACTCCCCACCCCCCGCGGGACCATGCAAGCCCTCATCGCACCCTTGGCCGATGCCTCCGTCAACGACGACATCCTGCCCGATCTATCGGTGCACCACGCCTTTCCACCTCTCTGCTCTCTCTGCTCTCTCTCGTAAGCTCCCGGTTTTGATGAAGCCATGGCCTCGCCCATACGCCGCAACCTAACCCACCACTTCATCATCATCATCATCATCTCGCGTGTTGGCTGGGTTGGGTGGGTGGCCTGCCACGTGGACGCGGGGTGGGTTCTGTCGCTAGGCCTCCACCGCCTCGTCCAAGAGCCAGCCGCGATCGGGCCACGCCAAGGGTACGCTCTGGCTCTGCTTCGGTCTGACATCATCCTCGGGATACCAACCTGGGACGGACACTGGCACCACAGGCCCAGCGTCCGAGGGAGCACCGGCCAAGGCAGCAGCAGCCGACCGAGCGTTGGAAACGGACACGCCGGCCCTGCTGGCCCTCCACGACGCCGTGATCGCCTCTCTTGCTTCCATCCCCAGTACCTCCCCCCCATCTCCCCTTCTCCGTTTTGCTGGCTGGCTGGCTGACCTTCCTCCCCCCCCCCAAATCCCACCACCAACGAAGGCGCCAAGCGAGAGCAAAAGAAGAGGCTGTGTTCGGCTGTGATCCTCGCCGGAGGCTCCAGCCAATTTCCGGGTCTGCGGGAGGTCCTTGAAAGCAAGTACGCCACGCTCCATCTCCTCCTCCAGGCGGCGGCTGCTGCTGCTGCGGCTGACAACTTGCTGGGCATTTATGATCCCAATCACAGGATCAACGAGGCGGTACCGAGTAGCTGGGCGCAAGAGGACAACGTCGGGGAGGGCGGAAGAGCCGAGGTAAGCCCGGCCCGGCGTGGAAGCAGCAGCACGGCGGCCTGCGGTCCAGCCGTGGAGGTGTTGGCCAGCAGGCGCAAGGACATGGAGCTCGACTCGCGCTTCCTGAGCTGGAAGGGCGGGGCCATCGCCGCCTGCCTCGAAGCCACCCGCGAGCTGTGGATCACCGCCGCACAGTGGTGCACCCACGGGGAGCGCCACCTGCGCGAACGGGCGGCGTTCTCCTGGTGAAAGCGGAGGAGGCGGACACCCCAACACCCTCTTTCAGAAAAATAATTTATTTATTTAAAGTTATTGGCCTGGAGAAGAAGAACGAAGAGGGAGCTCACTCGTCGGCGTCCCAGTCCACGGGGGCGGCTCGGAAATCGGTGTCGATGTCGCGGCAGTAGGTGATGGCGTAGAGGAGCTTCTCGCGTAGGATGGTGTCGGCCGAGTAGCGGGGCAGCTCGAGCTGGAAGAAGCAGGTGTGGGAGATGGGCAGAACCATGTCGTTGTTCTGCGCGCACGAGAGGATCACGAACTTCTGCTGGAAGTCGAGCGAGGTTAGCGGCAAGCGGCTGCGGCCCCACACGAACCGCAGAAAGAGCTCCCTTTGCTTGTGCTGCTCTCCCCCCCCCACCCACCCACGACGATCGAGGAGACACCCACACACGTACGCGCACCCACACCCACCCACACACGAGAACGTGTCCGGTCAGTTGTTGGCTTGGTTGGCCAGCAAGCCAGCAAAGTGCTAACAGGCAGGCCGTACCGTGAAAGACTCCAGGACGCGCCACATCATCTGCACGTGCTCATCCTCGTCCGAGAAGCCCGACTGGTAGCGAGTGTTCTCGCGGAGGAGCTGGATGTCGATCTTGTTCTTGCCACACACGTTCAGCTCCAGCTCCTGCCAGGTGAATAGCGAGAGCAGCTGAATGGGGATGATCGTCGCCATTCCCTTGCGCATGTTCTCCACCTGCTCCCTGCTCGCGCGCCATATCGTTGCAAGCCCTTCAGCAACTCACGCGACAAAGCTGCGTAGTGCCGTGCAGTAGAGAGTGGGGGGGGGAGAAGGAGGCTGGCCAGCCTGGACGAACCGGAATTCATTGAGGCGGGCAGCTTCGACCTTGCGCGCGTAGTCCAAACGGTCCTCGAAGCGGACCGGCAGGTCGCGTCCGTTGGGGCATAGGTCCAGGAGGGTCTTGCCGTCGGCGGCAGGCGTGGCCCAGGTGTAGTCGAGCGCTTCGAACATGACGCGCTCCTCCTCCGTTCCCTCGGTCATGGCCCGCACCTCCTCGAGCTGGTTCACGCAGTGCTTGTCGATGAGCTCCAGATCCCGCACCGTCAGCTCCGCTCCCACCTGTGTGCCGAGGAGGAGGAGGAGGAGGAGAGTGAAATGGAAGAGAGAACGGAGACACTCCCGTCAAACCACCGCCACACGCAGCATTGGCGTCTGCTTGCGTGCTTCACTCGCTCGGTGTGCGTGCGTGTGTGTCGTGTGTGTGTGTTTGTGTGTGTGTTTTGTGTGTGTGTGTGTGTGTGTGTGTGTGTGGTGGGTACCAGTTGCTTCCAGACAATGGAGGGGAGGTCGAGGTTGAGGATGTGCTTGCCGCGGATGGCGATGCCCATGAGCTTGCCCACGAAGGCGTACATGGAGAGGTGCAGCGACGTGAGGGAAAGCGGATTGGGGATCCACTTGTCCTGGTTCTCGCCGAACCCCTTGGCGTTGGGGCACGGAATAAACAGCGGCACCCAGCTCGAGTGGAGGTCAGCGCACATGTGCGATATACAGTCCCGGAACAGCCCGCCTGTTGCCCGGACACACGTGAACACGCACGCACGCACGTACGCACGCGGCACCCGACACACACCGGACACAGACAAAGGAGAAGAAGTCTCGTTAGTTAGGTTCCCCTCCGGTCGCCCTCTAGGCGCCAGCGGACCGGCTCCACGCGATGGCGGTGGGCGAGGAGGGATGGAGGGGGGGGGAGTGGGGGTGGCAAGGCACCAGCGTCGCGTCCGCCCTCGCCCTCGTAGGTGACGGAGAAGGTCTGGCCGGGTACCCGCAGCACCTCGGGCTTGAGGAAGTGCAGCTGGCGGTAGGCCTGCCCAAACACCGACCGAGAACCCTCCGGATCGCCTGCCACGTCCCCACCAACCCACCAACCGACCAACCAACCATCGCCACGCCACGCCACGCCACGCCACGCCACGCCACGCCACGCCACGCCACGCCACGCCACGCCACGCCACGCCACGCCACGCCACGCCACGCCACGCCACGCCACGCCACGCCACGCCACGCCACGCCACGCCACGCCACGCCACGCCACGCCACGCCACGCCACGCCACGCCACGCCACGCCAATTGTTAGATTTACGATTTAGACGGTGGTGGTGGTGGTGGTGGTGGTGGGCGTGGGGAGACAGTCCCAGGAAAGGAGCAGGAGGAGCATTGTGGGGGGGGGGCGGTACCCTTCTCCTTGGCGCGAAGGGCTCTGGGCCTGTTGATGGTGACCGAGGGCTTGTTGGCGCGCGACATGGTGCTGTTGAGGATCTTGTTCCACAGGTTCACTTTCGTCGACGGGAAGATGAGCCCTGCGGTGCACCCACGTACGACGGTGGTGGGTGGTGGTGGGTGGTGGGTAGTGGGTGGTGGTGGGTGGTGGTGGGTGGTGGTGGGTATGGTCAATGACCACGACCACGACGATGCCACGCACCGATCAGCAGGGGGGGGGCGTGGGGGCGGGGTGGTGCGTACCAGTGAGCTTGCAGACAGAGTGGGCGAGACTCCACGAGAGGTGGGTCTGCGAGAAGTCGACGAGGGGCAGCACCACCGTGAGCTGCCGATTGAAGAGGCGCACCGCAGTGAAGCGCACGCGGATGTCCTCGAGCGAGAGGTTCTGGTTTCGAATGGCGGGGAAGCGGTTGAGGTCCTCCTCGGCGACCGCGATGGTATCCGAGTCGATCACGAGCGGGTCCTGCTTGGTCTCGTCGCACAGGCCCACCACCAGCTCCACCACCTGCGTGAGGGCCTCCAGCCCCCAGCCCTTGCTCGCCCGCTCCAGGAAGGCCTCGAACTCCTCCACCTGTGTCGTGTGTGTGTGTGTGTGTGGTGTTTTGTGTGTGTGTCGTGTGCGTGGTGTGCGTGTGGCCATGGAGAGGAGAGAAGATCAACACACATCCGATACACGTCCTGCGCGGGAAGGCAGAGAGTGGGGACCCGTACGGAGACGAGGGCAGGCGACAGGGCGGCATAGGCAAAGGGCGCGAGGCGCTGGGCGCGAAGATCGGGCGCGGGGGCCGAGCGCTGGTGCAGAAGGCCGGCCTCGTCGGGGGCCAGGGCGCGTGTGTAAAAGCGCATGTCGCGCACCATGGCCTCGCATCCGTCCATCGCGGGTCGCTGCACGCGGGTACGTGTTACACGTGTTAATGCTGCTCCCTCCAACGTCAAGCGCGTGGCGTGTGGACTCCCAAGAGTCTGCGTGCGTGCGCGCGCGTAGGGTACCTTGACGACGCCTTCGGGGGGCTGGCCCAGGTAGAAGGGGTGCGGGTTGGGCTTGGCGGGGCTGGAGAGGCGGTGCTCGCCGTCCGGGAGGCCGTTGAGGAAGATGGTCACGCTCCTCTGGCGCGCCTCGCACCGCACCACCACGTGCGTCCACTCGGCGAGGGGCACCTCTGAGTTGGAGGCGAAGCTCTCGCGCCAGTCGTTCTCCGTGCTCATCGTCACCACCACCCGCCGGTCGTTGGAGCCCAGCATCACCGCCTGCCCCGCCCGCCCGCCCGCCCCCAACATGTCGCGACGGAGTGAGACATCTCGCCGGCCACCACCCACTCTCCTCACTTCCCCCCCGG